ATACATACATACATACATACATACATACATACGTTTTTATTAAAACATTTTCTTATGAGGATGAAGGTCAGTGCAAAAATGCAAATATTAATAGTCTTAACTATTAAATATTGCTACTTGATACCACACAGGGTTATCATTAACTAAAACTTTTAAATAAACAAACAAACAAATGTTACTTGAATCACTAAACTTTAACTGAAATAAACTATAAAAAAAAAAAAAAAATCTTATTTCAGCTAGTTGCCAAGGAAACATTTCTAATTTCTGTTTAACTTGAAGTACTAAAAAAAAAACTACAACAAAAACTAAAATAATAATAATAATAATAAATAATACAAACTTTATTACATATTTAAAACACACACGCAATTTCTAAAATCAAAGTGAAAACTAAAAATATTAACGAAAACTATAATAGTATATCAATGATACTACATACTACATGTCACATTATTCTTGGTCAATGTCTACAAACAAGGATTTCTGTAAAAAGTATCACTATTATATTATTTTATATACTGTATTAAATATGAAATTAAATATATAAACATTTTTAAAGGGAGAAATGTCATAGCATAAAGTTGAACAGAATGTGTAGGGACAAATTTTGCCTTAAAGCATTTATATAAATATATAAATAATAACTCCATAGGCAGTGAAAGCATGGCATATTAATTATAATAAAAGTAAAATGATGACGAATGAGGACATGCATGACTGACATTCTGGCATAAAATGTGTTACATACATTAGTGAGTGCATTAGAGTGCATACATTAGTGTTTAAAAAAAAAACACTAAAAGTGCACACTAAACAGATCAAATCAATTTCAGAATCCTGCTAATTTTGGTAGTAGTAAACTAGCACTTTTTTTCTGTAACATTTTAGATTGAACTGAAACTGCAAAAAGACACTTGCAAATATCCAGCACTAAAACACTTTTTTTTTTTTTTTCCCAATTACTGCTGAATCCTTACCCTGATTTTAAAGCGCTCTCGAATGCCCGCCCTCATGGCAAATGTGGAGCCAGGCAGCAGAGGCAGACACATGCATTCCCCATACTGATGGGCCAGACTCAGGTCCAAACAGCACGGCACAAACGCACCCATCAGAACTGCACAGAAGAGGAGAGAGATGCTATGAAACACGGGTTGGGATCTGTAGCATGAGCTTATCTGTAATTAATTTAACACCTACTGCAAAAAAAAAAAAAAAAAGGATTCAATTCTGATAAATATGGCTTTGAAAGATAAATCAATGTCCTTGGAAAAAGCTGAATTTTGTTTAATGCCCAGATTTACTTTAAATTAATGGAAAATCGTTAACAATTTATAATCATTAAAGGATTAGTTCACCCAAAAATGAAAATTCTGTCATTAATTACTCACCCTCGTGTTGTTCCAAACCCGTAAGACCTTCGTTCATCTTCAGAACACAAATTAAGATATTTTTGATGAAATCTGAGGGCTCTCTGACCCTCCCATAGACAGCAAGGTAACTACCACGTTCAAGGTCCAGAAAAGTACCAAGATGATCGACAAAGTAGTCTGTGTGACATCAGTGGTTCACCTGTAAAGTTACGAAGCTACAAGAATACTGTTTTGGGCAAAGAAAACATAAATAACGACTTTATTCCACATTTTCGTCTCTACTGTGTCACTTGTGGACACGCGTTCACGACAGTATCATGACGCGAGCGTATGGCGGTGAAAATGTGGAATAAAGTCGTTATTTATGTTTTCTTTGCCCAAAACAGTATTCTTGTAGCTTCGTAACTTTACAGGTGAACCACTGATGTCACACAGACTACATAGACAGCAAGGTAACTACCACGTTCAAGGTCCAGAAAAGTACCAAGATGATCGACAAAGTAGTCCTTTACAGTTGAACCACTGATGTCACACGGAATACTCTGTCGATCATCTTGGTACTTTTCTGGACCTTGAACGTGGTAGTTACCTTGCTGTCTATGGGAGGGTCAGATAGCCCTCAGATTTGATCAAAAATATCTTAAATTGTGTTCCGAATATGAACGAAGGCCTTACGGGTTTCAAACAACACAAGGGTGAGTAATTAATGACAGCATTTTTGGCTGAATAACCCTTTAAGGAATGTCATTAACTTTTAATGACTGTGTAATGGCACACAATCACTGGATTAGGAAAACAACCGTAATTGCTTTATGCTTATAATGAATAGTAATACATGGTGGAGTATTAAGCCACTATATAGCTGTAATACATTTAAAAAAAAAAGATTTGTACGTAATTTATGTGGTTAAGTAATTTATGTGATTTGTAAAGTATTTCATCCGAGGAAGCAGGATACTCTGTATTATTTTGGACAATTTTAGTCATAGTGACAAACTACAGTAATACAATACAAAATCAAAGTATTTAAGGACACATTTTATAATTAATAATGTAATCAAGAAATGTAATAAAATAATAAGGGAAACACTTCCATTTAGGGACCAATTCTCAGTATTAACTAGTTGCTTATTAGCATGCATTTACTAGCATATTGACGGTTTATTCGTACATATTAATGCCTTATTCTGCATAACCATTTTAGATACCTTAATCCTACCTCATACCAAAACTTAACAACTACCTTACTAACTATTAATAAGCAGCAAATCAGGTAAAAAAATAAAAAATAATAATAGTAAGAATTCAACCCCAAAATAAAGTGTGAGCATAATGAGTTTTATACTCAGGAATTTGTTTTCTATATTTTTACACAAGACCAAAATGTGATGGCAAGGGCCCATCTTGGTCCCAAAAGATAAAGATATACAGCTATGGAATTCTGTGTGCAATTTGTCAATAAAGTTCAATCTCAATTACTGGTATAGAGAGGCAGAGGCTTCATGGACAGACTTACGATGAATAAGCTGCTGCGTTAGATTTTCAGAGGCTATAAATATATTAGACCAAATTGTGTCCCACTGGAGTTCCGGGCCAGTTTCATTATTTTGAAATAGAAAAAAAGTTGTTTTCTCCATTACCAAAACTGAAACAAGGCAAAGTCAAATTATTGGTCGAATTACGGTCTTAAAAATTATGGAAGTCTGTTTTTTTTTTTCCTGAGCATACTTAGGACTCTCTCTGTTTTGACTTTATATCTCAGAATGTTAATTCAAGTCAATACAATTTTAACTCCTAAACGACTTTAAGTCTTGTAGTTGCGACTGACAATAAAAATAGTTTTCTCCATTACCAAAACTGAAACAAGGCAAAGTCAAATTATTGGTCGAATTACGGTCTTAAAAATTATGGAAGTCTGTTTTTTTTTTTCTGAGCATACTTAGGACTCTCTCTGTTTTGACTTTATATCTCAGAATGTTAATTCAAGTCAATACAATTTTAACTCCTAAACGACTTTAAGTCTTGTAGTTGCGACTGACAATAAAAATCTCACAATGTGACGGTTTTTCATAACTGCAAACCTAAATCTCTTCTAACTTGACTTTTTTTTATTGCAACTTTATATCTTTCAACTGTGACTTTGTTTCTCGCAATTGCGAACTTGGAGCTCTCCCAATTTTGACTTTGAATCTAAAAATCTGACTTCATTTCCTGCAAAGTGAGTTTAAGTCTTTTAAGTCAGTTGAGGCTCTGTTGCTCATAGTTGCGACTTTATATCTCACAATGCGACTGTTTCTCACGATTGCGAACTTAGGTCTCTGCCAGTTTGACTTTATATCTCCAAACGGCAAAAAAAAGCATGTCTTAAAGCAGGCGGTAATTTGCGCTACTCTTGGTAGATTGCGCTGGTCATCGTGATCCGTGCTGCGTCTGTGTTCTTTACTGTGCGCATTGTCGGTAAATCACACGCAAAATGTTCCCGTCCCATCGCCGCTTTTATTGAATTGTGCTCTTATGCTAATTTGCCCGTTTAGTAAATCTGGCCCTTTAAGTCTTGCAGCTGCGACTGACAATATTGCTTTAGATCTCGCAATGTGGCTTTTTTACATAATTGCAAATTATGAAAATAATCCTAAATCTATTCCGATTTTTACCTTATATCTCACAATGTTACTTCATACGTGTCACAATTTGAGTTTGAAGTCTTGCAGTTGCGACTTCTTAACTCTCAATGTGACTGGTTTTCTTAATTGTGACTTGTGATTCTCGTAATTGCAAACTTATTTCTCCCAATTCGGACTTCAAAATTACACAATGCGACTTCATATATTGCCAATTGAGTTTGTCTTGCAGTTGCGACTTTTTTCATAGTTGTGACTTTATATCTCACAAAGTCCCCGGTTCTCACAACTGCAACCTTATACTGTATCTCTCCCAATTTTCGATTGTAAACCTCTAAAGGTTGCTTTATACGCCACAATGCGACTTCATATTTTGAAAAGGGAGTTTAAATGTTGTATTTGCAACTTTGTTTCTTGAAGCATTCACTTTAAACTCATAAGACTTTAGATCTCATAATGGCTCTCAAGCACTTCCTCTTACATGTGCTGGTGTCAGCGCACACGTCAAACAGTCCTGTGCTCCAGTCTCCTCCTGTTTGAGTGATAGTGGTCACCGTTGTCGTGGTCACTCCGAGGCCAGGTTGAGTCAGAACAGGAAGTTCCATCTTCTCATTACCTGTTGGTTTTGCTTCAACATCTTTTCCACCAGAACCGTCCATTTGGTTTTGAAGGTGATGTGCAAAACGCAGCTTCAGAACAAAAACACAGACGTACAATCCTTTAAAAAGGTGAGTAAAACGGAAGTCCCTGGAAGCTTTGAAAGTACTGTGACATTAAACAAATGAAATGCACACTAATGAGATGAACACTTACATGGTGAATGTCAAAGTGGCTCAGAACAATCCCTCACGATGACAACAGACAGGGGTGAGTTTCCTATGGTGACAGTGGTGTGTTCTTTCTGATAGCCGCTTGGCCAAGAAGCCCTGACAGAAAGCTGCTGTGAGCTGATAAGCCTTCATACACACATCTTTTCCACCAGAACCGTCCATTTGGTTTTGAAGGTGATGTGCAAAACGCAGCTTCAGAACAAAAACACAGACGTACAATCCTTTAAAAAGGTGAGTAAAACGGAAGTCCCTGGAAGCTTTGAAAGTACTGTGACATTAAACACATGAAATGCACACTGAGATGAACACTTACATGGTGAATGTCAAAGTGGCTCAGAACAATCCCTCACGATGACAACAGACAGGGGTGAGTTTCCTATGGTGACAGTGGTGTGTTCTTTCTGATAGCCGCTTGGCCAAGAAGCCCTGACAGAAAGCTGCTGTGAGCTGATAAGCCTTCATACACACACACACACCTCTCAAGTGCATTCAAATAGTCACAAACAGAAATGTATCACACACAACAGCAGATATAATTCAGAATTCCTCTCAAATACAATTATACAACATACAATCAAGCATTTTTGGGACTGCTGGCCTACTTACATGTATCCCACTGGTTTGTACAATTCACACACACACAACAATATTAAACAAAAGCTTGCAAATGACACCTCAAATATGCAACAAGAGCTTACCAGCGATGCAGCCTGTGTGATGTTACAATGCAGAATTGCACGTTCTCTTGAGGTTAATGTCTCGCATCACTTCCTTCTGCACCACAGCTAACGCACATCGAACTGGGTCACATTCACTAATGAAGCATTGCATGTAGCTGTCATATGTAGAACGGCTCGCTTATATGTTTGCCACCCAAGTCTGTACAAATGCATGCAAGCGCCCATCTGAATGCGTTTCTTTGTGGCTGATCTCATCTCCACTCGCATCTGACTGTAAAAATGAGCCGTCTACATATCTGCTACGGCCTGCTTGGCTGGAAAATAGTTATATCCCTCATAGCGCTTCCTAGATGGCACATTTTCAGTGCTATGCGTGTCTGAATTTAGTTTTTTTTAACATGACTTAAAGAAAATTAGTATTTTCTTACCTCAACCAAAGATATTGGGAGACTATCAGATTAGTGATCATCAAATATGGTTTTATTGAAGTAGCCACTAGTTATTTATCATTAAAAAATACACTAAAACATTAATATTGTGAAATATTACAATAATAAAAAAAAGTTTAAAGTAGTATATATATATATATATTTTTTTTTTTTTTTTTTTTTTTTTTT